GGGACAGGGCCGAACCCTGCGGCACCCCATACTTAAGGGGCCTAGGGTTCGATCTCTGTCCTCCAACCAACACCGACTGCGACCTGTCCGAGAGGTAGAAGGAGAACCACCGAAGGACGGTGCCTCCCATTCCCACCTCCCGCAACCGCCGCAGAAGGATACCATGGTCGATGGTATCGAAGGCCGCTGAGAGGTCAAGGAGCACTAGGACGGAGGCATGACCCCTGTCCCTGGCTCTCCAGAGATCATCGATCAGCGCGACCAAAGCAGTTTCCGGGCTGTAGCCTGAATCCAGACTGAAAGGGGTCTAGATAATCGGTTTCATCCAAGGACCGCCGGAGCTGAGAGGCCACCACTTTCTCAACAACCTTCCCAACAAAGGGGAGGTTGGAGACTGGACGGTAGTTACTTAGAATGGCTGGATCCAAGGACGGCTTCTTCAGGAGGGGTCTCACCACCGCCGCCTGATTCTACAATGTCCTTGACATTTAGCCATTAATCATACAAAAAGATGGATGTCAGGTCTGATTTGTCATTAAACTGGTGATTCTGTTCACATTTTATTTATTTATTTGAGTTTGATAGCTACCTACCTTAACAGGGTGGTAGGTACAACTCTGGGCAACATGCATCTTATGACTTAAAACAATTTAAGTAAAAGAATACAAAATAAATATATATATGGCACCAAGTAAAAACTATTACTATGGATGGGAATACAGTTGGAACCTTACTATACTCAGAGCCCTAGACCCTGGACTTACAACCAAGTCTTCATGACCTTACAAAAAACCAAGATATCTGAAGGCAGAATATCGGGACTGCGGCAGAGAAGGCACATTTCCAGAATGCTAGCTTTGCCAGGTTGATGAAAACATTTCTACTAAAATAAAGGGAAAACAGCAATACAATCAAAAAATGGAAAGGCTTTGCAGAATGAAACTTAAAGCAGCACATCAAGGATGGATGAGTATTGTTGCAAAGAAATGCTTTGTTCGCATAAGCTTTAATCATATAAGCAAAATCCTAGAACCAACATTTTATAATGTTAACATTTTCAAATAGATGACAATAAGTATGCCCAGTTTTGGAATTATAAGGATTCAAGGCAAAAGAGCATTATTCTTTTTTTGTGTGTGTCTTTTATTAGTCAGTGTTCAAATTTTTTCACATTGCTTTTAAAGGACTAAGTCGAAATTATGAAATTTGGCAGATCTTTCCATTTATTCTCTAAATATTTAAGCCTTTAAGATGTACCATTGCTATTATGTCCTGTACATTTTTTAAAAAAGTCTTACAGTATTCTAAAATTATCTTCATGCTTTTACAATCAGTTTTACAAAAATATTCTGTGTTTCTCTAGTCCAAAATACTTTATAGACAGCACTAAAACAGTATCTTAAAGGCATATTTTCTCTATTTACTTTATTGAAAGCAACGTATCGACTACATTTATTTTTCCATCAAAAAGTATATTGGAAACTCTTAGATAGTTGTTTAATCCATATTCCTGTTACATTTCAAGCTCATCAGAGAATGAACTAAAATTGCAATGGACAATTTGGTGAATACAAGTATAATCACTAGCATTGAGGTTATCCAGTTTGGGTAATGAAACAAACAACCAAGTTCAGAAACCATCAAACACTCCATAATTCAATCTTGTTTTCTATTGGAAAAATAATTATGTAATGTGAGAGATTGTAATGGTGGTTATTAACTACGACATCTGGAAGTAAGTCTACCTTCTTTTAAACAAAAAAAATGACACCCCAACAGTTTCCCATGGGGATCGAAATTGGAAGCATGACTCTTCATTGTGACGTGATTAAATATAGGAAATACAATTGCTGATCTATTTATCATTTTGTTATTGTTCTTTATGGTCATTATTCTTTTCTGTTCATTAATTATTATATTTCTGTGAAGTGAATATATAAACATTGATCTTTTTCAATTCATTTCTCCAGGACCATCATTCAAAGCGAGTAGTCTGAAAGGTGATAAAAAGCTTGAATTCATGCCCACAAATTTACATATACAACGAATGAGAGTCCAGGATGATGCAGGATCAGGTATTCTTATGCTTCTTAATACATTTTATACTTATATTATTAGCAAGGTTGGTTCTCCACGTATGAATCTTTATTTTTCATTAGCAACATGATACATTTAAGTTTTCAGAAGAAGAAAAGTCTTTAGAGTCTAATGAAAATTAAGCTTGTCTGGAATATTTCTGAAATGGAAGGGTCAGGAAATGAAATATTATTGACTGGTTAGATCCCTGAGTAGGAATTTTTGCTGTTGTAGAGTCCACTTCTTGTTTCTTTCTTTTAAAGAAAACATATTTTGGTCTTGGCTTATTTTGCTCATATGAGTTAGGTGCCCTTTGTTCTTGGTTTTCTTTCTTTACCTTAGGGTAAAGAAAATGAGAGATTTGGAAAAGGTTATATATTTTGTTTCCTGAATAAAGAGGTTGGAAGTATATTGTATATTTGCTGGTTAGAACAAGTGGCTTGTGCTGAAAAGTGATGAAGAAGGTTGCAAAAACTTTTAAACACCAAGGAATGGATACCTGTAATCCTTGAGTTTCAATAGTTCACTTAGTGGATGTTTACACGATAACATCCCCCCAAGTATTTACGACTCAGTCCCAAAATTACAAATGTTGTAGCACCACAACAATTATTCACACTTACAAACAACTGTAGAGGCACTGCAACATTCACCCTACCTATCCCGCTCCCAACAGGTCTCCACAATTGCTTCCCTCTTCCCATCCTGACTCACCTTGTGAAACTCTGTCTCCTCTCTGCCATGGTTTCTTTGAGAACAGGACAATTTCGCTTCCAGCATTTGATTGCCTTGCAAATATTTTGCGCAAAGACTAGAAACTTTTTGGGAACCGTCATCTCATGGGACTTCAGGGTACAAAATCATGGCACCCAGAAATTTGCAGTTTCCATGCAAAATGTTTGCAAGCTGACGGGATGCTTTGAGGCAGTGCGATTTCGCTCCCTCAAAGTGTCCCACAGCTGAGTGGCTAGAGAGAAGACAGCTTGCTAGATCTTCGCTAGGTAAGTGACCTGCTACGGCAGGATGGGGGAGGGAAGCAATTGTAGGGAGCATGAGGTATTTCATTGGGTTGGTGAGGCCTTTAGGCAGGTGGCCTGTTCCATCAGTAGGCTCTCCATGGCCTTCCTCACCTTGAAATACTTCATGTACACTTAATGAGCCTCACATTTGATTAGCGAATGCGTGAGCGAAAGGAAGGAGTGATCCCATTCAACCTATGAGATTCACTCCCATGAACCCTTGAGTTACGAATGGAATGGGCAGGCTCCATTACATTTGTAAGTCAAGAATTACCTGTACTTGGCAGGAAATCTTGATATTTTAATTGAGAGATATTGATAGTACTTAGCATTCTCCTAAACAGTGATACTAACTGCAGCTTTCTGTGGCCTTTGCCATTTACAAATTATATTATTCTGCTTTTCATTGGAGGGAAATCAAATATCCCAGATAAATCTAAATTGTGTTCATATTCAAGTGATAAAAATCCCCGGTTTAAACTGCATTATTTTAACCCATCTTTTTACAAAGTATAATAAAATTGCAATTTTTGCTAGGGTAGGCCTGTTCAAAATTTTGCATACTTTCCAATGGAAGAAAATGACCATCTTTGCAAAGAAATGTTCATGTGTAGCCATCTTCTCCATTGAGCACCTTACAGAGAAGTACAAGTTGATTTAGAAAGTCTATGCTGACTTTCTTCATGAACAAATATAAATTTCTCTTACATAATTCCAAGGCCAAATGAATAATGTTCTAATAGTTACATTCTTGGCAGGTATTGTTATACACATGGAGACTGTCCGCATCTTACTCAATAATCAGTTCTCACATCCTTGTGTATTTCCAGTGATATTCTGTGGCCTATAACAAAAATGCAAGAAATGGCATGCCGTTTAGTAGAATGGAAAGTCTTATAATTTATACGTTTATTGAATTTCCTGTACTAGAAATAACTGATGCAGAAATGTCACTTTGTATTTGATTTAAAGATACCTTAATGCAATTCTCAGAAATTTTAAAGAGTTTATAAACTTTATAGAGAGTGTTGTTGGTTCTTTAAAATATGGTTGTTGTTGGTTTTTTTTGCATATTTGCATTCTAGGACAGCTGACAGTAATTCTCATGGTGTCTTTTTCCCTGTCATTTGTAATATTTAGATGAGAATTATGACATTGTAACTATAGGAGCACCAGCAGCGCACTGCCAGGCATTTAAATCTGGAGGTTTGCGGAAAAAGCTACATAAATTTGAAGATGCAAAGAAACAGTAAGTGGCATGTTGAACACACACTTTTTTTGGTGACTCTAGTTTTGTAAAAAACAGAATGTCATTCCTTCTTTTCTCTTTTATCCACACATAGAAAGTTTCAACCACATAGCAAGTAGAGATACCTTTTGTGAAGAATTTAGAAAAATAATTTCCCTTTTTAAATTGATCAATGTATGTTAGCTTTTAGAAGATGTTTCTATTTAATCACATATAAAAGCTGATTAATCATGCATTGGTTAGAGACTTCCCTTGAAATTTTGTGCAAGATTTTTTGATCAGAGTAGCTGAATTTTCAAAGAGGTACTTCCTCCAGATCCCCCTCTGTTCCTGGTGCTGTTGTTTTACACACACACACTGCCCATTTGAAGTTTTTTTGGGTCACCCCCTCAAGAGGGGGAAGCACCTTGTTGACCTTGTCTGAATTTAGAAATAAAGAGGGTTGGCTTTTTAGTACTTAGATGAGAGAATGGCCAGAAAATACCACATTGTAAGCTAGACTGGGATTTTTTTTAAAAAAATAAAAGGAATATTTTTGAAGAAGGCAAAGTTTAAACAATTTCTTCTATGTGCCTTCAGATTACATGGATTACAGCCCAATTAACTAATATTGCTTTTTACTACGTTACTTATTCAAGAGCAGACAGAACACTTTTTTTTTTTTTTTGCTGTTGAGATGAATGATTCCATGTTTATTTCATTCTTTTTGCAATTTGGAGGTCTGATGATTCTGTGTGGCTAACAATTAAAAAAGAAAGAACATGCTAAAAAGAAAAACAGGTTTATGTTCGTTTTGTTCACACAATTCTGATCCTGTGACCTTCTCCCGATAGAAACTGTAGCGTAAAACAGAAACATGTATGCCCATAAAGAAAGAGAGGTATGGAGTCAGGTGTTATTAGATGTATAAAGAATAGTATTCAAAGCCATAGAAGGAGGCGGAGTTCAAGTGGATAACCTTAATAACTTTTGTAACTGATTTTTATATATGACATTATTTGAAACTTGAAAACACTCTTCTGCAATTTCCCTACTTTCTAGATGGAAAGAAGTTTAAAAGATACAGCAATGGGTCCAAAACAGGACACATGGATATACTAGATCTTTTACAGATTTGAAATAAGTGCTAGTACTGCTTTTGCTTGAGCAGAGAAATTAATTTATCCTTTAATTTTATCTTTTTGGATATCAGAGATTTTAACCAATAATGAGAACATGTAAACACTGGAACCATTATGCTTGTCAAACATTCTATAACTTGCAGATTCTGTTAAAAGTTCAGGGTATCTTGGCTAAAGAAGGTTGAAGAAAAATATCCTTGAAGATTCTTAAAAGCTGAAATATCCTATTGTACCATTAATATATCATTTTCTATTATTTTCAGGAGTAGAGTAATTCTGCCTTAGCTACAGTATATTGCCTTTATAGTCTTAATTTAAAAAGAGAGAATTCACAGGAACAAAATAGTTGGACACGTCTAGAATCTAGATAGATGTTTTGTTGCTTTAAATGCTGCCAAATCAGATACAGTTTTCCATCCACAATACATGACCAGTAAACAATAATATTCTAAAGTTAGTAAGTCAGAATTAAATTTAGGCTGACACTTCCTATCTGCACTTTATTTTAGTTTTATATCTTAAATCACTGCTTATTTTAGTCTGTGTTACTTGCATAACTTTTAATAATAGCTACAGAAAAAAAGTCATCTACCAGGCAGTTAATCCAGGGGTAAATTTTCCCTTAGAAGGACCATATTTAGAAAAATCACAATCTGCATATTATTTGATTGTGTTTCTTCAAGTAACTTAGTTGCCATATTAATTGCTTCTGTTAAAATAATCAAAATAGCTTTTTAGATAAGCTATATCTAAAGATCTGTGCATATTTTGTCTTTTTGACATCTTGTAATATATGTCATGTTTGTATTCCTGTGCTTACATTAGTAGGCAGTGTGACCATTTTTCATATCCAGTGAAACTCTGTTCTGAGATCAGTTAATTCTTAATTATGGTCAATGACCAGAATTCCACTTAAAAAGCTAAAAATTTAAAAATAAAAGTAGATATAACCAAAGCTAAATAATTAGTAAGATTCATTACAGTAGGATTTATAAACAGTAAAAATGCGACTACATCCAAAGAAACTTAATCATGTTGATAGACTAGTAGCAATTGTACAAAATATAGTTCTGAATATTTGTTTGAGATACAGATGTCATCATTCAACCAAGGTGGAGGTTACATGTTTACTGTTAATTTTATATTTTTCTTTTATTTTTCTTCTTGTGATTTTTTTTATTTTGTAGTTTATATTTTATTTTTGGGAAAAATAAAAAATAATACTCTGAATAAACTGGTTATTTGGATAATAAGGAGAATATAAATGTCACCCTTAAATGACCATGCATTTTTATGAAATAAGGATTCTGAAACTATATTTAACTGATTATGATAGTGGCTTTTGAGTATTGTACACTATTGTTTATTTGATTTGTTGCAATATATGCACTACTGGAAAGCAGTGTGCTTTTAATATTAAACACACTCTGTTGGTGTAAATAGTTTTTCTCAACTTTGGCAGCTTTAAGATCTGTGGACTTCAACTCCCAGACTTCCCCAGCCAGCCTGGGGAATTCTAGGAGCTGAAGTTCACCTATCTCAAAATTGCCAGGGATGAGAAACACTGGTGCACAGCACGAGTTTGTGCTTTACCATTACAGGCATCTCTTACAAAAATACTATCTTTTTGAGTCCTGGAAATTGCCTATACATTACTGAAACATCAAGGTTTACATTAAAAAAAATATTTATAAATAAAACGGATACACTTTATGTTTCAGACATACCAGCTATTTTTGAATGACAATAAGAATGGCAATAAGAAATGCCATTAACTGGAACACATGCCAACATTTTACTCCAGTTGGCATGTACTGAGTTTAAAATCTTTTCTTAAATTCCATCAGTTTTGTGAAGAGATGCCTAGCATATAGCTTGCTTATTATATTTAGATAGAGTAAGTAGATAGTAATTGGGTGACTTGGACCTACCACCCCTTTAACATTGGTGATTGAACTATTTTACCTTTGGAAGATCATCTTGATAGTTTGGACACAGAACACAGATAGTTTGGATCTCCATATCATCTTAAATTTTAAAATTTAAAACTGTAAGCAGAGTTAAATCATTGATAGTAGCATTGCCATTTATTGGTTGGAAAATGAGATTAAGGATCTCTGAAGGAATGGCAGAAGGGCAGTCAAGGAGGGACTCAAATTCATTAGGGTATATACTGAATGTCTCATAAAAATATCTATGTGTTCTATCAGTCATCTATACATTTTTTGGTGGGGTCTTATAACATTTTAGGAGACATTTACCATTTTGCATACTTTTTGTTTTCCTCATCTGCTTCATACAAACACAGCATTATTAAGAAGTATTAAAGCAATTAACATTTATCTAACATCATTTGGCTTTTGATATTTGCTTAAAGGCTAATTTTCTTTTGGTTTCTTTTTTTTTAGCAGTTTTGAGGAAAGTTGGTGAGTTTTCTATTTCTGAGCTAGCACAGCTTTCTTCCTTTTCTAAAGCAGACAATGTATTAACAGGGTGTATTTTATGATTGTATCCTGACTTCGCTAATTTGCTTCATTAAATAAATGTTTAGTGCGGTATTTCGTAGGCATGAATTTGTAATCTTCATCTGCATTATTTGCTTTATCAATGAACAGCTAACATTTAAAAATAACCTTTAGAATACAATTTAAGAGAGATTTGGAAATATTAAATGTATAACTGCTCATCCCTGGAAAAACTAAAATAATCAAATACTGTTTGAATACTTTTACTTTAGGGGAAAGAGAAAATAGTTTGATTGGACCTAGTTTTAAGAAGTGTTTATTTGAAAAGGAGATAGTAGACACCAAGCTTATTTTGTTAAAAATTGCAGTGCTAAGGATGAAAATGCCTTCATATTAACTCATCTAGCCTGGAAGCCATTACCCTTATCATTCAGATATTTTTAGGTCAGTGGTATGATGTTGCTAAAACATTTAACCACATTACTATGTGATCCTAGACATTAAAGGAAATTCTATCAACTATGTTTAGACTCTAGTGATTAGGTATTTCTAGTATTTATCCTGGGGGTGTGGCAAAGAGGCTAGTAGCAGTTTATTGAATATATGCCTCTGATTTATTCATTTTATGCCCACAAAGTGGCTCATTTTTAAGATAAGGGTTCAGTTTGTATACAAGAGGTTTACATAGATTTGGATCAGATATGAACTAAAACTTTAATCCATGCACATGAATTGACAGTTATACTTCCAAGCATTAGATAATTGGCCTATGTATCCATGGAACTACACTGTTATGTTTGTAAGATTGTGACCTTGGGTCTTTAATAGCAAAAGTTGGACTGCTTTAGTCTACTTAATCCTAATTTAAAAAAGAAATAAAATTTTGGGGGGAGATGGAAAAAATGTTTTCCAGTTAAAAGTCAGTGAAGGATGATAGCTGTTCATTTGGGGAAATGGTCATGAGAAGCTAATCGAATTGTTTCCTTTGATTCTAGCAAAAGATTTGTTTTGCTTCTTTTTTGAGAATGAGTCTAACACAAATAATGCTGCATGTAGTTTGCTACTGTATATAGATTGATTCTGCATGATGTCTCTCTTTCAAATAAGATGCATATATTGCTATAATAAAATATTAAAAATATTTAAATATGATAAAAATATTTAAAAGCCTGAGCTTTAACTGTAGATCTGTCCTTAAAATAAACAATCTGTATCACATTTTAAAGAAAACCCCTATAATAATTTTGAAGTTATTCTAAAAATAAAAAGACACATTTTTCCTTTTTCCCCCCTTTTTAAAAAAATTACAGTCTAAATCCTTTCTTCTGAAAATGTATTTTTCCAGATAGCTGAACAAAGCTTTGGTTAAAAGCTTTTAAATTGTTATCTAGATTCTTTCAAAGATAGATTAAAAGTTTATTAAAAGGAAGAGATGTTGTTTCAAGTTTCATACTACCAAAAACATTTTAGACAATTTCCTGCTTCAATTTTATATTGGAAACTGATTCTGAAAACTTGCATTGTTTCTGAAGCATTGTCTTATGCTAAATGAAAGCATTTTGTTAAATAGATCTGTTTTGCTGTGAATGAATTAGACAACTGGTAATCTGAAATTTGCAGTGGGACATTAGAAGGAAGCTATCTGCCAAGAGAAAGGAATTAGCCTACCATTTTTACTTTTCCAGGGACATTGTATAAACTACTAAGATGATGGCTCTCCAGCAACAATAGATGGTAGAGTATATATCTGGATTTACAAAAACAAATCCAGATATATGGAAGGAAAGGAATGTCAAATAGCTTACTATAAATCTATCTTGAGTTACGTTTGGCTAGTCTTTTAAAATAGTGCAAATCTGAGTTTATTAAGCAGGATTCTGACGTTGGCAAGAAGGTTAAAAACAAAGCCATATGAGACTTCAATCATCTTGAGCAATTATATGGTTGTGAAAAGGATAATATAGCAGTAGTATTTTCTAAGATGAATCTGGAAATCTTTGAAGGCAAATGGATCGGTCAGCCATTTGAATGAATAAATTATGCTTAGCCAAGGAATCGGATTAACAGGAATAATTCTGTTAATTCTGTTATTGCTGCATTGTTTGATTGGCAGTTTTCTGTTCCCTATGTAGTTTCTGAGTAATCACATGGCATGTTTGATAAATACATATTGTTCAAATGCTGTCATCATGTGCATCTCAAGATAGTTTGAATAAGATGGTTGCAACATAGTAGATTGTCAGTCTTTGTACTTAGTGGCTTGATAGTTAGAACAAGATCCCAAATCAATATCTTCCTCTATTATTATTTTTTAAAATACTCTTTTTTCTCTTGTTGTTAGCACTGCGACCAATTCTCAATCTATAGTATACATACCACAGGATATTATTCGAGCAAAGGAGATTATTGCACAGATCAATACCCTGAAAACTCAAGTTAGTTATTATGCAGAAAGACTTTCCAGAGCTGCCAAGGATAAATCAGCGAATGGACTTGAGAGAACACTTGCCATTTTGGCAGATAAGGTAGGGGATATGTTCACCCTCTCCTCTATACCATTCAGATCCCTCTTTAATTTAATATTAACTGAATATTCTTATACTGGCAGTTTTGAATTTCCTTCTCTTTAGACCTGCCAAAATCTGGGAATTCTGAAAGGACAACAAGAACTTACGTTTATTTGGTCTATATTTAATGATCAGTAATGAGGCCTAAACCTCTCTGACCTCAGCATATAAGATTATTGTATTTCAATACACTTGATCTAATACAACCCATCTTGCTGTAAGTCTACTACTACAGCAGACTAGACTTGAGGCAAAAAGAGTCTCCTTCTCCAACCTTCATTTCTGTTGTGAAAATCTAAAACCTAATATCATAAATCTTGGTGATGCTTAGGGCTGTAAAACAACATTCTTCAAATTGCTAATTAAAGTATTTTTTTGGGGGGGGGAATCTTTATGGCCCTGATCATTTTTTCAAGTAATGGTATCCATGTCAGTGCTGACTGTCTCCTGCTAATCATGTTATATTTCCTTGCTGTACTGTAATTACATTCACTCGACACTAAATTTAGTTTCTTTTAACAAATAAGCCATAATTGGCGGGATCCATACAACATATTATCAGATGCAGATTAAATGCCACAATGTCTAGGTTACACAACATATTAAGCTAAGAAAGGTTATTGCTTAGTGTGCTGTATGAATCAATTCATTGAATTCAAATTGAAATTAAATTCACAGTGAAATGCTATAGAAAATATATTATTCTATGATAAATTCTATGGGGAGCTGTGCTCTCAATTGGCACTGTAATGGAAATTACAGTAATGGAAAGATTGCTCATCTACCTCAATCAGTACCTAGATCACTATAATTACATTAAAGAACAGTCTTAGCAGGTTTTTAGTATGCTAAAATAACCTTTTTATTTGTTAAGATTTGTAATGTAGCCATATTTGTTAAGAAAAGTGTACCTTGTATTAACAAGTGTACCTTGTATTAAACTGTTTTTAAAAAGTGACATAATTGTTACTGGGTTTGTTTACTGTACTTTAGTAGTGTTGGGATTGGACAGTAATAAAGAATCATGTTATAAAATAGACAATGTTTGCAAATATTGTGTGTCATCTTTATCCTTTCTAGACCAGGCAGCTTGTCACTGTCTGTGACTGCAAGCTGTTGGCAAATTCAATTCATGCCCTGAATACTGCAAGACCAGATTATATAGCTTCAAAGGTTTCTCCAACATCTACAGAAGGAGAACAAGTGGTGCTAAGAAATGACCAAGATACTTTGGTGGCCAGGTGGGCAGGAAGAAATAGCCGTTCTTCCCTACAGGTGGACTGGCATGAAGAAGAATGGGTAGGCTGTTACCTTAAAATTCCATTCCTATACTACAGTGAATCTTAATTCAGACAATTCCCTTTTGTAAAATTACAGCTGCCAGGTATTTAATCATCTTTTGTGGGCTAGAAACTATGTTTAAAATGCTTTGAATGAGCAAAAGGCATGGTGGGCATTAATCAGTGATGCATAGTGAACGTAACATGGATTATTGCATCTTTTTTTCCCTGTGCTATAAATATAGTGACCATATTTTCTTCGAAAAAATGAAAGCCAAATCTGAAAAAGAGACAATTCTGAAAGAGGTTCTCAAGGATAAGAGGAATAAGTATTTAGGTTTATAATTTTGCTTTACAAAGGAAAATTCAAGAGCAAAACCAAGAAAATAATCGCTAAATAAATCTAGAGGATAGTTTTCTAAAATAAAGGACTGTCCTTTATAAGAAAGGATTATGATGTTAATGATGTTAAGCCTGTTTTAGAGCCTGTGTTCCAATTGTCATATTTCTTTTAAAAATATTGGTAAAAATCCATGCACCCAATTGTGGCAATCATTATTGGGAGATGCTTTGATGCCTCTGGAGCCCTTTGTTTATTAATTCCAGCAGACTCTTTACAGATTGCACTGTCATTATCTGATTTAAATATAGTTTGTGGAATAAGTAGCTGGGTACATATATGATGAAAACTAGGAACCACAACAGCTGAGGTCATGCAACTCTTGCAATAAATGAATGATATGGTGACGTAAAGCAATCTGTGAACCCAGACATTGGGTGTTCATTTCTTTTTCTCTACTTCTGTTTCTATTTTTTGAGTTGCCAGTAAAAATGGAGCAACTAAATTTATTTATTTGTTAAATTTATTTGCTGCCTACCTTGCTATGGAGTTAATTCTAGGTATCTTGGAGATGTGATGATTTCCTATTATTAATTGGAAAGTAGTAAATGAACTGATAGTCTTTGCAATTTTGTCCAGAAGAAAATAATATTATCTTACCCAGTTGCCCAATTAGATGGAAATGGTTAGTATGTTTCTTTATTTCCTTTCAATTGATGTGCATGGTTTCTATGAATTACTGAAAGTAGTGAAAATAGTGTTTTCAAAATATTATTTCAATAATAATATTCTTTATTTCTTTTCATTATATTGGGCACACCAGTATGTAATTGATCCCTTTCTGTTTGTTCCTTCCCAGGAAAAAGTCTGGGTGAATGTTGATAAAAGTCTTGAATGCATTATCCAGAGGGTAGACAAGCTCCTCCTGAAAGAACGATTGCAAAGTGATAGCTGTGAAGATGTTTTCCTGTGTGAAGTTAGCTGCTCTAGCAAGAAAGGTAAACAAGATACCCGTGCATACTGGATAAAGCCAGAGACCTTAAATGAAATCATCTCATCTTCATCATCCCCACCATCATCTTCATCCATTTCATCCTCTGCATGCCATTTTCCCAGAATCACAAGTGCGTATGACAGCCGTGGCTTTTTGCTGTTGTCATTTTGTTCTGCTTTGTTGCATTTCTTAGCTTTTCCTTAATCATGATCCATGTATTGTAAGCATTTTTCGGTATATTAGGAATCTTCATTTAATAGTAAGGTCCCAGGAATGAGAGAACCATGGTCTTTTTGCTGTATTTCCATTTTTAATTTTCAGAGCATTTCCTAAAAAGGATTAAATAGGGAGTGCTTCTAATTACTCTCCAAAAAGCTATAGTAGAAATTAGATTGTCTATGGAGCTTCTTAATCATCAAGGTCATGGTTGTCCCAAAAGTGCTTTTTCCAAAAGGCAACTGGATTTTCTTCTTGTTGTTTTTCTTTCTTTAAAAACATTTCGCTTGTCATTCAAGAAGCTTCTTCCGTTCAGAAGTTCAGAACTGAGTAAGCTTCTTGGATGAAAAGTGAAATGTTTTCAGAGAACCCCCCCCTTCCAAAGAAAATCCAGTTGCCTTTTTAGGTAAAATATCTTTGGAATATAAACTAGATTATTTTATCAGAAGTACATAACATGGTGCTAGTAGGCACCACTGTACCTGTAGATATTTATGTTTTCACCTACTGTTGTGTCTCAAGCCTCTAATATATACTGATGCTGACTTGGCTGTCTGCCACAACTAAGGAGGGAGATAAGCAGCCCCTTGGCTAGGAGCCCAGAAAATTATCTCTATGAAAACAAGGCTTGAACTCACGAAGTTCTCCCAATCTTTCACTACACCTGGTATTGTAAATTGTTGTTTCCTGCAAAATTCACCTCCCGTCGCCCCACCTATGAGCTCTCCGGGAGGGGCCAATCAGTAGTCACCTGTTCCTATTTCCTTCTGTGAGCCTTTTTCCAAAG